GACCTGCTGGGAAACGCGCGCGCACACATACACAGACATGTGCACACGCCCCCGACGCTCTCTCAGCAACCCTCTCCCAGAGCTGTTCCCTCTTTCGGGGCAAATCAAGCCCAGATTGGAACCTTCCGCCGGCTTCCGCGCTCAGTCCCGTCTGGTCTGCATTAGCGTTTTTATAAGGGACTCAAACAAATCGAATACAAGGTCACCAAATAATTAACAGTTGTGAATTCCCTCCGTCCCCATTAAAATGCTTCCCCGCTTATATTTCATTTTCCTTTTGCCAACAACAGGGTCCGGGCCACGGCGCAGCCTGCCGCGCGGATCACAAAAGCGCTCCGCGGCCCAGGTCCGCCGGACACTCGCCGGCCATTCGCGGTTTTGCATGAACACGCACACACGCACACATACACACACACACACACGCGCGCGCACACACACACACACACACACACACACACACACACACACACAACGCAGCGGCCCTAAGAACGCCCTTCCCAAGGCCCCGCCACCCGGCAGGTCCAGCCCTACCCCCAGCCAACCACTGCCCGAAAGGTCCACCCAGAAGCCGGCAAACCACCAGCTTCCAACTCTCCGCAGATTCACGTCCAGGGTGTCCAGTTCTCCGAGGACGTTCGGATCTCGTTTTTGTTTTGTTTTGTTTTGTTTGTTTTTGTTTTGTTTTTACCTGTTCCCTCCTGCCTCCTTTCTGAGTGCACTATTGTGACAACCACCAAGAAGCGCTCCTAAAGAGTATTCTTCCTTCCACAGCCCCTGGGAATCTAAGTCTCAGCAATCCTCTTAGCCTCCTGTTGGCGTCCTCATCCTTGGGAAGTATTTTTGCCCTCCCCCACCCCTTGTTGGAACCTTGTGGCGTTCTCCCGACATAAACAAACGGAAAGTCCGGTTTTGTTTCTCTCCCTCCCTCCCCTCTGTCTCTCAAGTCACGTTGAATCCATAGAAGTTCTCGTTGTCCGACTTCCCCAGGCCCCAGAGTTCGGGGTCCTGGCTTTTCCTAAGTTAGTTATGCCTTGTACTCACTGTCATGTCCCTCTCTCTCCAGCCTGGTCCATTCTGACCCTTTGACTGTACCCACACACCATAAGCACACACGTTATCATCTTTATAGATTCGAAATAATTCAAAAGGACAGTGTGGAGGCATTTTAAAACATCAGGGATCCCATACGAGTCGTCTATGCCTGCATAAGGTATACATATATAAAGAGGAAACGAAGTAGTCCCTTCAATTCCAGGTTCCACTCGGACTCCGGCCAGGGTTTTTAGAGACCCGGAGGGAAATCTGTCCATTGTACTGCTGCCTCCACAATGGCTCTGAACCCTCCTCTCCCCTGGACAGTGCCCGAGGGGCAAGCAGAAGGGTCTGGAGCCAGAGGTGAGTTTCCCCCTCTCGCTAGCAGGTCTCCGTTCTCCTTATTCACCTGTGATTGTGCCCCGCTCCTGGAGATGGTTGTTAGAATCGAATAAAATAACTCCTGTAACGGGGCTGAGCCCAATTCCTGGTACACAGCACATGCTCAGCGCATCTTGGTTGCTATTAGTACCCCTAGATGTTTGCATAGCAAATCGAAAGGAGGGAGAACTATTAATTTTTTCCCAAGTGCAATCAGTTCTCCTGGGGTGGGGGTGGGGGGTTGAGGGAGGAAGAGGGCGGCATGGGGAAGGTAGAACAAGCCTTGCTGTCTGGACAGACCTAAACCCTCTGCTCTCCGTTCACCCTCAAAGGGGCTTATCCCTGCTCCTCCGCTCTTACTCCAAAGCTTGGGGTGGGAGGAAGCTTTTTTGCCAATCCTGCCTGCACGTGAGTAAGCCCGGCTGGCCTGGCACGCGGCCTTGGGGATTCCTGCCTTTCGCTTTGCTCCTCTCCCTCTGCTCAGCGACCCCCCCTCCCCCAGCGACCCCAGCTCCTCTGGGCCCGACCCGCCCCAGCCCGGGGCGATTCCAACGTCCTGGAGGCCCCGGGTCCGCGCGGCCGCTGAGCTTCCCCCCTCCCGGCCCCCCGCGGTCCCCGGGGTGGGGGCAGGGGTGCGGGGGGGGGGGGTCGGCGCGGCGGGGAGTCCCCACGTGGGGCGGCGGAAGTCCGGGCCGGGGCTGCGCGGCTGGCGGCCCCCTCCATCACCGCAGACTAGCCCCCGCCTGATGGGTTGTGACATGAGCCCTCAATTAGATCGCTGGGCTGAAGCGCTCCCATCAGGGGCCCGGTGCTAGGCAAGCCCCGCGAGGTCCAGCCCGAGGTCACCGCCGGTGACACATCACATCAGGATCAGCGAGAGGGAAAGGGAGGCTGTCCTGTGTCTGGCGGGGGCCCGCGGCCCGCGGCGCGCCCCTCCTCCTCCGAGCGCCCCTCCTCCGCCCCCTCCTCCGAGCGCCCCTCCTCCGGTGCCCCCTCCTCCAAGCGCCCCCTCCTCCGAGCGCCCCTTCTCCTCCTCCGAGCGCCCCCTCCTCCGGTGCCCCCTCCTCCCAGCGCCCCTCCTCTTCCCAGCGCCCCCTCCTCCAGTGCCCCCTCCTCCCAGCGCCCCTCCTCCTCCCAGCGCCCCCTCCTTCGGTGCCCCCTCCTCCCAGCGCCCCTTCTCCTCCCAGCGCCCCCTCCTCCCAGCGCCCCCTCCAGCCCTCAGCTCCGAGCTCGCCTTGGCCCCCCACGCGGCGTGCGACCAGCCCTAGAGCCTCCCGGTCCACTGCCCGCCTTGCCTCGTGGCCCCGGGACCCTGGGGCGTGGAGAGGACCGCGCCTGGGGGACTGCGGGCCGGGCGCCCCAGCCGCGCCTCCTCTCGCCGGGGCATCCCGGAGCTGGAGCCGGACGTCCGCATGCCAGCTGGCCCGGAGACCGTGGCCCGGAGACTGTGGCCGGGAGACAGTGGCCCGGAGACCGTGGCCCGGAGACTGTGGCCGGGAGACAGTGGCCCGGAGACCGTGGCCCGGAGACCGTGGCCGGGAGACCGTGGCCCGGAGACCGTGGCCCGGAGACCGTGGCCTGGAGACGCGGCGCCTCCTCCCCAGCCCTGGCCTGGGCGCGGGGCCGGGCGCTCCCCCAGCCCCGGGGCGCAGGGGCTCCCAGCGCCGGGTCCCGGGAGGGGCTGTGGGGTAAGCCCGCCTCTGACCCGGACCCAGAGCCCCTAGAGACACCTCCGAACCCCCTGCCGAGTCCCTGGGTCACCCGCCACACTCACTCGGGAGGGGTGCCGCCTGGGGGAGGGCGGCGATGCTCGAAGCCTCGGGTCGGGGGAAGAAAAGATGCCCGCCCGCCCGCCGCCGGGGCCTCCGGATTTCCTCCCCTGGAGAGGCCTCCGGGGCGCTGCTCTCCCAGCGCCCCAGTCGCTCCTTCCACTAGGGCGGCAGGAAAGGCGGAGGATCAGCCGGAGATCGGGAGGGAGGAGGGAAGGAGGGAGCCAGAAGCCGGGAGCAGAGGTGGGAGCGGAGGGGCCGTGGGCTGGCGGCCCGGTGCCCGGGGAAGAAGCCAGGGGCGCGTGCCCGTGAGCCTTGTGCAGCTCCGATCGCCATAGGAAGCCGCACCCCCAGCGACCCCCGAGCCGCGCTGGCCTCCGGCCCGGCTGCAGCGGCCACTCTCGCCCCGATTGCACCCCGGCCCCAAAGGAACACGGCGGCCGGCGAGGGGTCTGAGGCCGGAGCCCGGGAAGCTCAGGGCCGTTGGCTGTCAGCCGGCGCTGAAAAAGCCTCGAGGACACGAGGGTCTCCCCGGCAGCGCTCTCCGCCCGAACCCGCGTTCCAGGTCCCCGGGGACCCCACTTGCACCCCAGCCGTGGGAGCCGGGGAGCGTCCCTGCGCGGAGCTACATCTGGGCAGGATAACGGAGCAGATAACAGCCTGCATCTCCTTCATCTCCTTCTTCTTCCTCCTCCCCTTCCCCGCTTTCCCACTTCCTTTCTTCTCCTCTCCTCCCTTCCTCTCCAGTCTCCCTCTGCGTTATGCTCTCTCCTCATCAGGAGCTCAGTTCTGGCGCCTGTCGGTCCCTCTCCGAGTCCCGGGACCAGAGGGAGCCCGGGCTTCTCTCGAAGGCATCCCCGCGCTGCGCTGCAGTCCGGCACCGGCACCCGCGACAGGGGCGCGCGGGCTGGCCGAGGAAGGGCTGAACACCCCAGCCACCCATGTGGGTGAAGTTCTGTACCAACGACCTCCAAACTGAGCAGCCTTGCCCCTGCCCCTGCCCCTGCTTGGGCTCCCCTGTCCCTGCCCCTACCCGGGCTCCTCTGCTCCTGCCCCTGCCCGGTCTCCCCTGCCCGGGCTCCCCTGCCCCTGCCTCTGCCCGGGCTCCCCTGCCCCGGCCCTCCTACCCCTGCTCCTGCCCCTGCCCCGGCTCCCCTGCCCCTGCCCTGCCTCCCCTGCTCATCGCTGCCTCGGCAGAAGCGACTCGGAGCGGCGGGAAAGCGCCCCGCGGACGCAACAAAACCAAACCCGAAGGCACAGCGCTCCGGCCCGGCTGGCGAGCCCAGAACCCCCGCAGCCGCGGGGAGAGGAGGGAGGGGAAGGGGGGCCCTGCCGACGCGGCCCGCCGGCCCGCTCCTCCGCCCGCGGCACCCGGCGGCTCTCCCGGAGCGGCGGACGGGGACTCCGGGCGTCCTCCGCTCCCTCCGCTCCTCCTGCCCCGGGGCCCGCGGTCCCCACCGCAGCTCAGGGCTTGGACGGCGCCCCCGCCCCCCGAAACCCGCGACCCCGCGGCTCGACTCCCGAACGTCAGTGCCCGCCGCAACCCCTCTCCGCTCCGGTCCCCCGCGGCCACCGGAGCGGCGGCCACCCCGCTGCCCTCCACAAAGCCCGGAGGCAGGAGGCAGGAGGCAGGAGGCAGGAGGCAGGAGGCAGGAGGCAGGGGGACGGCGGACTGTCAGGAAAATGCATCGGGAAAGGGACTCGGACTTGGGAGAAAACACAGGAGACAGGAGCGGCGTCCGGAGCGGGGAGGGAGCCGCCGGGGCCGTGCGCCCCGGGGGGGAGAGAGAGAGGCCGGGCGCCCTCCACGCCACTCACCGAGCCCCCGGTCCACGAAGCTGGTGATGGTGTTGGCCGACTTGGAGGACTGGAAGAAGCTGGCGTTGATGCCCAGCTTCTCGGCGACGGAGTAGGTCCGGTAGAGGGACAGCATGTACTCGTGCGGCACCACGCGCGGGCCCGCGGCCGGCGGCTCCTGCGCCCGCGGCTGCGGCTGCGGCTCCGGCTCCTCCCGCTCCCGCGGCGGCCGGGGCAGCTTCCCTTCCCTGCGGCTCCGCATCCCCCTGGCGGAGCCCAGGTCGGCGGAGGACGAGGCGGAGGAGATGGACGCCTGCTGGAAACCGGGCAGATCCCACAGGAAGCCGATGAGGAACACGGCCGAGAGCAGGACCCGCGGAGTGTCCATGGCGAGCGAGCGAGCGCGGGGCGGCGGCTTCCCGGGTGGCGGCGGGGCGCGGGGCGCGGGGCGCACGGATGGCTGGACAGCGGCCGGGCCGGCTCCCGGGGCGGACGGACTCCGAGTGCGGGGAGCCGGGTCGCAGCCACACAAACCCCGGGCCTGCCACGCCCCCTCCCGCCCCTAGGCTGGGGGGAGGGGAGGGAAGGGCGCGGAGGGAGGGAAGGGGGGCGGAGGGCGGGCGGAGAGGCCGGTGGTACGGCCGGAGGTGTGGGGGAGAGGGTCCGCCGTGTGCGGTGCCGAGGGAGGCGCAGCGCCCCCGCGGGACGCGCTCGGTGTTGCCGGGTCGGAGCGCGCACAGCGGGCCGGGGGCGCCGGGCTGGGCAGGGGGAAGGCGGCCAGGAATCCAGGGGCCTCCACAGGGCCGGGGTCCCCCAAACACTGTCCGAAGGCCGGTCCCTGCCATCCGCCTCCACTTTTCCGGAAGCCTTGGGCCCGGGCGGCGGCGCCCCCCAGAGACAGCTCGGGGCGGGCGCCCCTGCGGGCCTCTGCGCGCTGGCTGCGGGCGGTGGTACCTTCCTCCCTCTGCCCCCGGCTTTCCAGGCGGGCGGTGCGCTCCCCTTAGGGCCCGGCTCCGGGCCAGAGGAGCCTCGCCGAGCGCCAGGCACAGGGCCCGGCCCTGAGCAGCCAGCCCCGTTCTCTCGGCTTGGTGCAGTTCTCCTGAGAGTCAGGGCGTCTGTTTCCGACCCACAAGGTCAGGCAAAGGTCACCCGTTAGAGCCTGGATGGATGCTGAGAGTTCCTGGGCTCTCCTCCGGGCCCGCAGCCCCTCCTGGGGAAGTCCCCAGCCTCCTCCTGGGATGGACGCCGGCTGACCCGCTTCCTTTCTCCGTCTGCCCCCACCCCGGTCCTCTTCCCCCTGGCGATCTGTCCATCCCCATGTCCCCCTGCCTCTGTCCTCTCCCTCCGCCTCCAGTACTTCCTCCTTCCCCGAGTGCTTTCTGCATTCCAAGCCCTCTTTCTCTCCCCAGCCCGCTTCCCTTCTCCCTCTGCCCTCCCATCGCTCTCCGCCTTCCCACCCTCTCCCGCCTGCCCAGCCGGCCTCCACCTCCCTCCCTGTCTGCCTGCGGACCCTCCCTTCGCCTTCCCAGCTCTTCCCCAATCTGTTTCTCTTCAGCCCAGCCTCGCCCCATCACGAGTTTCCTTTATCTGTCCCCAGATTCTCCGGGCCTGCCTACCCGCCCACTGCTCTGCTGCTCTCCCAGCCGGCCTGTCTCTGGCTGTTTCTCTCCCACAGCCAGCAAGGGGGGGGGGGGGAGGGAGATTGGGGGGTACGGTGGGGGGGGTGGTGGTCCCCAGACCCCTGAGGCCGGCGGTTCCCTTATTATGATTTGGGTGCTCAGGTCCCAACCACAACATGCTCTCCCTTCATGTCCCAACAGCTCCCTGCGGTTGGCCTGACTATGTTCACTGTCACAGGCTTTTTTTAAAAAATGATCCTAAGAGAGGTTAAGTGACTTTGCCAGGGACACTTAGCCAAGGACAGAACCCAGGGCGCGGGCCCCAAACCCAGAGTGCTTCCCATTCCCGGAGAGAAGAATCCATGGCCGGCCCACTGCCTTGCTCTCATTCTTGCCCTTTCCCTTCCTTTATGGTTTTGTGTGACCTCAGACAATTTCTTCCCACCTGACTGTGTGTGTGTGCGTTCCCACTTCCTCTCCCATTCTCCCCTGTTCTCTCCTTTGCTGATTTGTTTCTTTTCCGGTCCACTTAGCTGGGGGGGTTGGGGTTGGAGTTCTGCTTCCCTCGGTCCTTCATGCCTCAATCCCTTCAGGTCTGGGCTGTGCACGCCGCCACCCCAGCCCTGGCCTCCCCCAGGGAATGGGTGGAAAGAGAACTTGTGAATGGTGCGCATCCTAAGCCCCGTACATATCTCATTTCATTTGATCTTTTTAAAAAATATCTTATTGGTTTTTTACAGAGAGGAAGGGAGAGAGATAGTTAGAAACATCGATGAGAGAGAAACCTTGGCCAGCGACCTCCTGCGCACCCCCTCCCGGCCATGTGCCCACAACCAAGGTACAAGCCTTTGACCGGAATCAAACCTGGGACCTTTCAGTCCTCAGGCCAACGCTCTAGCCACTGAGCCAACCCGGTTGGAGCTCATTTAATCTTAAAAAACGACTTTCTGAGGTAAGTACACATTACCTCCATCTTACACACGGAGAAACTGAGGCCCAAGTCATGCAGCCCCAGAGTTCTGGCCCTTAGCCCCCGGGCCTGTGCTCTCCCCTGGATCTCTGTGGATGCCCCTTCTCGCCAGACCTTGGTCTTGGTTTCATGAGCTTTAACTTCTGAGACTTGAGTCTCCCTGGTGCTCTATTGTGGTCTTTTCTCCCTTCGATCCTTGTGCTTGAAAGCAGTTTATTTACTAAATTAACAGCCTAAAAGGAAATGGAACTGGATGGGGGGGGGGGAAATGGCTTCTCTGATTTTTTTTTTTTTTTTTTTTTTTGCTCCCACAACAAATCAAATAGTTTTGCTTTTATGGGTTCCCTTCCATTTCCTCTTACTTGTTGTGTGCACACATCGTTTTCACATGCTATGTTGTGTTCTTCCTCTGTAAGGTAACATTATGGCAAAGCATGTATGGAGGGGGAGTGTATTACTGCAAAGCCCATTTCCTTTCACGTCTCTCCTCTGTGCCCCTTGCAGGTCCCTGAAGGTCTTCGCCACCCTGACATGGCCGACTCAAGGTCACCTCTGCAAATCCATACACTCACACCCCCTTACTTCTCACTTGCGGGCACAGCCTCTCCTTCTCCCTGCTGCAGCCCCAGGGTGATTCATGTGTGTTGTTGGGCCTGCTCTGAGGCTCGGCTCCCTCTGTCCATCTGCCTGAGTGTCATCCCACAGAGGCCTTTTTCTGTGCTCTCCTTCCACCTCTTCCTCCGGGGCAGTGAATACCTGTGGTTTGTATTATCAGCATTTTAATTTCTATCCATACGGAGTCTGGTTAACGATGATTCATGGTTTCAGTCTCTCCGTCCAATAAAATGTTTCCTGCCGGCCACTGCGGGTTTCTGTATTCCCTTTCCATTTTGCCCACAGCAACTGTTATCTGTTTCAAGTTATCGGTAAACAGGAAACAAAGGGATGAGCCTATTTGCTCTGGCTGAGGGTCCCTCCGCGCACTGGATAGGGTTCTGTGTGAGAGTCAATGACACCAGGACAGTGACCACACAGGCTTCAGGGTTCCCCTCCCTCATTGCCACCAGCCCCTGGTCCATGCAGGGAAGTGCTGGCTGCCCTTTGCTGGAAGGGCAGTTTCACCTGTGAAGCACTGGTTTCACAGGTGAGCAGAGAGAGGAACAGGCAAGCTCACAAGCTGCCAGAAATCTAGCCGAACGAGGAGACTCGTCTTTCTAACTCCTAACCCAACTCTTCTCTATTAAAAAAAAAAAAAAAAAAAATTCATTTTCAACTATAGTGACAATGATCCACAGTAATGTAGAAAGCTTTTCTCTTCTTCCCTTTCAAATAGGAACGTTAACAGGCCATGTCAAGGCCTGGTGTGTGTGTGTGTGTGTGTGTGTGTGTGTGTGTGTGTGTTGTGTGTTGTGTGTGTGTGTGTATGTTGTAAAAATAAAGATACAAAGAGCACACTGCAAGTCAGAGTCTGCCTTGAGATCTCACATTTGGAGAATTTGAAATAATGCTAGAGAATTGAAGTTTTCGGTCCTAAGGTTCTCCCATAATTTCTTCAGCGCAATTATCCACGAAGAACAAGAAAAAAAAAAAAAAAAAAGCGGGAAGTTCTCGAGTTGAAGTGAGAGGCAGCTTTAGCAGCTTCACTGAGGCATTCTTTTTCGCGGTTAGATTCCCCCCCCCCCCCCCAAAAAAAAAAAAAGAAAAAAAAAGAAAAAAAAATTAGAAGGAAACAGAGAAAACTGTGCAGTCTGGTATATCCTGCCCCCCTGTGGAGGCTCATGGGATTACTAGTGAGAAGCAAAACCATGTGAACATGGGATTTCTCTCTCTTTCCCCAGCTTACATTGAGGCTGACCTTCCCATTGCCTTGGTTGGCTTGGGCACTGGTCTTCTTCACAGAAAGGGTCACAGACAGATTCGGTGAAATGGAACGGAGAGCTGTGCCCAATGACATAACCTCCCTGGGCCTCAGCTTCCCCGCTCCATCAGCTGGACCTGGTGTGACTGGAGATTCGGGCAGTGCCTTGTCTGCACCAGCATGAGAGCACTGAGATGGGAAGGTGATTAGATCCAGTTGTGTTTATTGAAAGAAGCAGGAAGACCCGGGAAGGGAGGGAGGGGGGGCGGGATCAATTCCATCCAATCCCTGCTCTCCTTTGTTTGGTTACACGGGGGGGGGCGGGGGGGGGCACATAGCAGTCAACTAAACCATGTTGTGGTTTGCCATCACCAGTGATTCTCAAAGGGCGGCCCCCAGACCAGCAGCATCAATCAACATCACCTGGAAATGTGTCCAAAATGCAAATTCTTAGGCCACGCCCAAGACCTGGGGCGCCCCCCCCCCCCCCCCCCCCCCCCCCCCCCCGTTATCCATCCTTTAACTAGCTGGGAAGGGGCGTGGCTCAGATGCACGCTGAGGTTTTGAACCATTGCTCCACACCGTGAAATAGGGCAAGTGACCTGGCAAATTATTCAAGAAATGCTTTGATTTTTTAAAGAGAATGCTGTACAAGAAATGCATAGGATGCAACTTTATCGCCAAATTAATGATTCTCGTTCCTAACGAGCAAATAATTTTCATTCCCCATGCAAACCAGGGGTATTTAATTGCTTGCCGTCATGCCAGGCCAAATGCTGTGAATCTGGTCAGATCTCTCACAATCCGTAGGGCCAGGCCTGCTTAGAACCTGCAAGGGAGGGAAAAACTGCATCAGAATGAACCCGACTGTTGGTACCTTCTTACAAACTCCAGATAAACAAGGAGAGGGCCTTGGAGCTGAAGGTTCAGATCCAGCTCTG